GAAGACCCAGGACACGCTGGAGGGACTATGTCTCTTGGCTGGCCTGGGAACACCTCGGCATTCCCCCGGAGGAGCTGGAGGAAGTGTCTGGAGAGAGGGAAGTCTGGGCATCTTTGCTTAGACTGCTGCCCCCGCGACCCAGTCCCGGATAAGTGGAGGAAAATGGATGGATGGATGGATGGATGTTTGTGTTAAACATTCAGTAACTTCACCACAAATACACTTTTTAGAAGGGTTTTATCCTTTTTCTACTACTGAGTATACAGTCCAACACTGCACACTACTGAATGCTTTTACAAAGAATAGACATGCTTTAAGGTGAATAGTACTTTTCCTTATGTTTAAAAAAATTAACATGGGATTTTCTCTCATTTTACAATGTTGGTTACTCTTTGATAAGAAAATCTTGCTTTAGTTCTTTGTGTTTTCATTTACATTTTAAAAACAAAGCTAATTATTGAATAAACACCTCAAATGTGTGTAGCTCAGTGCTCAGAAGATGTGAATGTTTAATCATTTCATATCTAAGTGCTGTAAAGCTCATTTTATATTTTTGAGATGGCAGTTAGCAGTGGGAGTAATTTTAGGGCTCCCACAAAAATCTGCTCTCACACCTACATACTGTATCAATTTTAGTTTCCTTGCAGTTTTTTGTTTGTTTTGTTTTATTGGATTATACGAATATGTTGGATGTTGTGCTGTAACTGCCATCTGCTGTAATAAAGAGATGATAAAGAGGCTGTTTTCGGCAGTCACAGGTCCACTGTGGCTCAGTGAAAGCTACTAGGGAACACACTCCCAGAAGTGAAGCCACTATGACTTGATCCCACCCGCTCCATGTTACTGGACATGAAACATATTAAAAACTCAAAGTACAAATCATATGTGATTTCTATGTTTTTGGTAAATATTTTCACACTGATGTGTGTACAAGTAGTCATTGTTCTGGTAAAGTTGTTTTTAATAAGTTATTTGATGATACAAAAAGAGGTGGATGAATGGCTTCACTTTTGCATAGTGGAGGGAAGTGGTGATGTGCCATCCATATTTATACAGTCAGTGGTGTGTACTCACTGGTACTTGGAACAGGTAGAGTTGGCCAAGGTAGGCTCTAATGGGTGGAAGGTGACAGGAGGACTGTGCTGGGCAGACATCAGAAAACCAATGGCCAACAGACTCAAACTCAAACATGTACCTATTGAAGAAAAAAAAACACAACAGGCAAACATTGCCCTTAGAGTCCACAAAAATCTTTCTCTGGTGTGGATTCTTCTTTGTGCTGCAGTGTACCTATAATACTACCCAAGGTGAGTTTCCTGCGCCCAACTCTCTCTACCAGCCACACTCCCAGAAGGGTAAACAGGAAGTTGGTGAGGGTAGCGAGCCCGGCCAACCAGATTGCCAACCTGTCATCCCGCACTCCAGACATTTGCAAGATGGTGGCACTGTAGTACCTATGTGACACAGAGACAGATCAAAATTTATGAATAATTATTGTTATATTAAAAAAGCCGTCCCTGGTAGGCTAGTGGTTAAGGCACAGCACTCTCGCTGCTGTGGCCTGGGTTTGAGTCAGGGTTGCGTCAGGAAGGGCATCCGACGTAAAACACGTGCCAAATGTCAACATGCAAATTATCAGTGTGATGATTTGCTGTGGCGACCCCTAAACGGAAAAAGCCAAAAATGACTTTCTATTGTTATATTAAAACAATTTGCCCAGTCTATTAATCACCACTGTGGGGAAAAGTCAAATCTCTAATTTAGAAAACAATCTTGCCGTCTAATTACAGAATTGGCAATTTGTTCAGGTGGCCTCCTCTTTTTTCATACAAGAGAGGTAAAATGTTAAAGGACTTTTTAGTCTCTTCAGAGGTGAAAGTTGATTCTAGAACTCTTATTGTTTTTCTTGTTACTCGTGTTCAATGCAATAATACAGCTTGCACTAAAGACATACTGTACAATCTCTAGCTTATGGTTTCAAGGCACTGAAAAAAAGTCACAGCCCAAAACAGTGTCCTAATTTAGATTTGAAAGGAGAAGCATTGTGTATATGGAATTGAAAACTTTATCATCATGTGGATGGAATGAAGAACTAGATTTGAGGTGTTTTCTCACAGGTTAAAACTATCTGTAATATATTTTCCCTACTTAAATAACACTGTTTCTTGAGGGTTATTTTTTGTTTAGTTTTTAATTGTTTCATTAGTTTTTTTGTTTTGGCCACAAGATAACATTATGATGACAAAAGGAATGAAAAACAATAATGCATGTGATACTACTGATGAACTTGTTAAGGTTTAGTCCCCCTCACCAGGAGGGTGAGTGAGAACTGAGGTTGGACTCAAGATTGCTGAGCCAGGTGCTAGTAAAAAAAAAAAAAAAAAAGGTGGTTTTATGGTGGGGATCACAAAAAGGAACAGAGTCGAGGAACACATACAACCAGGGCTGAGCAAATACGGCTAAGGAGAACAGGACGACCAGGGGAGAAGACAGGCTAACGGCAAAAAACAGGAGAGTGAGGATGAGGATGGACAGGTGAAAAAACAAATGAACCAGGAAGACTGGCGAACAAAAATGAAATCCACAGCACAGGAACTGTCAGCGTGGATATGAAAAATTAACGTCTAGCTAGCCTAATGGACAAAAAACATACAAAGGGATCCACAGCACAAGAACTGTCAGCGTGGACATCTAGAGACGAATAACACAAAACATTTAACCTACGTACAAATTGAGATCCACAGCACAGGAACTGTCAGCGTGGAAGTCAAACGATGTGCCACATACCACGACTATAGGTCAGTTATGGGGTATGCAAACTAGGTATGTTAATGCTCCGGCGATGACGGAGCGTCTGACAGAGGTATAAATAAGGAAGAAGGTAATCATCGGGATGCACCCCAGCTGTGCGCACCGACAAACGAGTCGCTAATTACTGAAAGCAACACAGCTGAGGTGCAGATCCCGCAGGATCGAGAGAGCAGAGGAGAGAAAGGCGGAAGAGAGGCAGGTCGCGCCGAGCGGACCTGACAGAACTAATTATTGAACAATGTAATTTTCCAATAGGATGTAAGATGACTGAAAATGTATATAAATTGTTTTTCAGTATTCATATTTGAACCCCGATGAAGGTGTAAGTTGAAATGTTGAGTTTAAGATTTTAGAAGATGTCAATAAAATAAAGAAGAAAAGAGAAAGTCTGTGTGCAGTCCTCATCCTTCAAGTGATCGTCTATAAATGGAAACTGTTTCTTTTTTTTATATAATAGATAAAAAGCCAGAGAACAGAAAAATTAAAACATGATTCTGGTTTATTACAACTTGGTTAGTATTTTTATTTGTATTTTTGCAGTTTCCATCAGTTACCATCAGTTACAGTAACATTGTATTCATTAATGTAATTGCTATATGGAAACAGAAGCAGTTGTCAACCCAACTCCAGAAAGTTACTGCACCTAATAAAAAAAAAAAAATAATAATAATAATTTTTTTTTTTAATCCAGGGCAAACCCCCCCCCAAAAGAGCAAATCATCATTCTTACACTTTGTTTTTTGTACTGATTATAAAAAAGAGCTGAAACATATTAACTAGTGAGTTTTAGGCTTGCCTTTGGACACAGCCAAGCTAATTGTTTGCCTCTGTTTCTGATATTTGCATTTAGCTTACACTCTGCTAACAGACAGACGTCTCACATACTGTATTTCTTCATAAGAAAACAAATAAGTTTATTTCCAAAATATCAAATTCCCGCTTTAAACCAATTTATTTGGCAATAAAACTGAAATTAAGTTCACTTGAAAAATGTAGTAATTACCTTTGAATAGGCTCATAACAAAAACATCCATCAAGAACCTTTGTTGGAGTTGTATCTCCCTCTCTATTGTGTTATACTGAGAGGTGTTTCCATCATTTTGTCCACCCCCTTTATATCAACAGGACTAGGCTACATAATAATAATGCCTTTCTCTGTAATCCTGTACAGTCCTTCCAAAATGCTCATACAGTTTAATCAACACCTCTCTGTGACAGTTTCAACAAAAACTGAACATTATCACTGTCATGAAGATGGATTTCCTGCAGGACTGTTGGATTTGTTTGACTTACGTTTAGCTAGGTGTACCTAATAAACAGCCAAAACAATATTCTGAAAAATCAGCTTGTAAAATAATTGACATAAAAACAAATGCAATCAAGTCAAGCCAAGTCAACAAACCAATCACAGTCCCAGCCACTAGTCAGGATCGGTGTCTCTTCCTCTCTCTCTCTCTCTCTCTCTCTCTCTCTCTCTCTGTTCTCATTTAGTTTAATCATACCCACAACTCTGGCACCATGTTGCTCCACACAGGCAGATTAGCTCCAATCATCATTAACAAGGCTCTAAGCAGACTCACAATACAGACACCTGCATGGGGTCCACTTCAATTATGATATCATGTAACTTAATAGAGGGGGGAAAACATGGCTGAGGCAGGAACATATACACCTGCAATGGCTCTATTTAAAGTGTCAGTATAGACATGATGTGCTCAATGGATGGAAGGGGAAAATGCATGTGCACAGCCTGTAGCCTATGTAAAGACAAAGTAAATAAGGAATCAAAAATCCTGAAGGAACACAAATAAAGGAGGCAATACTCATTAAAGGAAATACCAAAATAAAAGAAGTCTCCAGCACTGTATGCCTCTATATGTTTCTACAGGCAAATCAGTCTCAGAATTAGCATTCTGCCCCCCAGAAAAACAAAGACATTCAATTGAGGGATTTGCATAATAACACTTTACTTTTCTGCCCTTGATTTCAGTCAGGCAGAATGAGAAAAGATTATGAAATGAGGTGGTGTGGGATTCTGGTTTAAAAGCTTGACCTGTATGGCAGTTTAAGGTGTATCAGGCAATGAAAGTTACAGAAGGTCTTATTAGTCATCAGTAAACTTAGATACTGTATATACCAGCAAATGCATGTGCTGAATGGGCACACACACACCTATACAAAAGAAATGAGTTAGCTTTGGAGCAGCAGTGGAAATAAAAGAAGAATTTCTCCTTTCAGCAGTAGCCCCTGCTGTGTTCCATCTCCAGCCCTGCATCTTACTGATTACAGCACACACACACACAGACAGAGCAGCGCCTTGCAGGGACAGCGCCCCCATTGGGGTGTGTGTAAGTGTGTGCATGTGAGTTGGCACCGCAGATTGGCTGCCTCGGTTCTTACCGGAGACAAATTCCTCATGTGTGTAACATACTTGGCAAATATAAATGATCATCATTATCACACATACACACAGAAACACTATGATCTGACATAGAGTACATGCTACTGTGCCTAACAGCCTGCAGAAACAAAGTGATCATTTTTCTGACCACTGTGCCCAGAAGTGTGTTAAGTGTTAAAAGCATCTCAGATTCCAAAAGCCCCCAACAGATTCTCAAAGGGTGAACTTAAGCCTGTCTGTTAACTGTGATTACACTTCCACTGCAATCTTGTATACACTCAGTCCTGCTGTGTGAAACACTAAATTGTTATTGTAGTAACAAATAATAGCAGTAGTGAAGAACTGACTGTTAGCTGGAGAAAAGAAAAGAAGGCATCACCTTAAGAACAGTATAGTAGGCAGTTTCATAGGTCTGCAAAGAGCATCAGCTTTGCTTACGAGAAAGCTTTTTTCACTTGCCATCTCACAGCATCAAGGGAAAAATATAGCACAAAGAAGTGCTGCAGCTTAGTAGCCTCACAGAAACGTCTTTAGATTAGAAATAATGGGTACACAAAGAGCATCATAGTACAGAAAATGTTCAGTACTTATTCTGACCTGTCATTAAAATTCTTCAAAATTGCATATTGTTTATTTCTGGGAGTCAGTTATGTTTGTAATGGTTCTGTCCCACCTGTTTTCGTTCTGGTACTTTTATTTTGACATTACTTCCTCTTTCTGTTTCACCTTAGTTTCGGACTTTTTACTTTCATCAGCACTCAATTGGTTACACCTGTTTTCACCCAGTTATAAGCAGCTTTCCCTCCACCAGAAAGCTGCCAGATTGTTCTTGACTCTGTGCAGACTTTCCAGCATTATCCTTGTATTTGTTATAAATGCTCACACACGGGAGAGTGAGTGAGTGAAAAAAGAACAGACCCAGAGGGCTGACTTCGGTGCAAGCAGATTTAGTTTGTGCTATACAGATATATACAGGTGCGGTGAGAACAATATAAGAATACTGAAAGTATAGTGTATAGAACCGGGTGTCGACCAGCACAGTGACAGTCACTATAGGGGTTAGGAGAAGGTGGGCCAAGCTGCGGAACAGAACGGTCAATCACTGGCTGGCCGATGGAGGTGGAACAGGCTGAGGAGACGGAGTTAATGGTGGCAGTGAGCCAGAGGTAGTTTGTATGACTGTGTATCAACCTGGCTGGTGGAGGCTGGAAAGGAGGTGAGGAGTATGGTCCGGAGATAGCT